TCTTTAAATTTCGTAATTTTTATCCAGCTAACCGGAAGGAAGTTTATCGCCGATTTCCTATCCGGACGGAACGAATTTCGAATCAGATTTGCGCGCGAAACGTTTTCCATCCTTCGATGGGTATCGGGGCCAGTTGTGCACACACTTTCGCGGAACAACATTTCGATTCGAAACGGGGAGAGCAATAAACGCGTCATATTTACAATCGTATCCGTGCCGATCTATTATCGACGGGGTGCGCGCGCGCGAACGCCACGTCGAACAGCCGCCACCACGCCACTGGACCATTTCCAGTTGGCCATTATACAATATCGCGCGCAGACGAGCAACAACAGGCCGCGGCAGAGTTCATATCGGCATCATGTATATTATCGCAATGTAATCAAGTGTCCACTTCCCTCCGCCCTCCTCCTCCTCCCCCATTCTCGCGCTTTTCTCCCACCACGATAGGTCTCCCAGTGGCGGCGCAACATCCCCATGATTTTCATTTCAGCTTGTCAAGCAGGGCTCGCGGAGGGCCGCAGAGTTATAGGGAATCGTTTATAAGGGTTATTTGTCACGCGTTCTCCTCCAGTGTCTCCTCTCCAACCCCCAGAGCGGGAGAGGAAGAGAGAGAAAGATAATATCCCTACCTTTCCGTTTCGTCGGAGTTATATCGTTCCCTTGGCCCGGTATTCCTCACAACACAGTGGCGGGAGGGGTTCGATAGACTCCGCTCGAACTTATAAATAAAACCAGGGCTTCAGCCAATTAAGCCGGCCTCGTACGTCTCCGCAAAGTAGAAAATGTGACAAGCACCGCCGCCTCCTCCGTTCCCAGCCTCCCTTCCTTCGCAAAAGGTTTCTTTAATTTTCCATCGACCGCCTTTCCCATCCAGACTCTCCCTACTATATTTCTGAATTCGATCCCATTTTCTTCTACGTATCTTGAAACGCACGAAATTTTTTTTTTTTTTAAATCTTGTTAAAAAAAAGATTATTCTTTATCTTTCTTTATTGGTGAGCTAAAATATCATACGTGATGCTATAAATAATTATTATAATTAGATTTAAATTTATAGAGATCAATCGACAAAAATATCACGGAAATATATGAAAATTAAATTAAATAATTTCCCGTTTGATGAAACGATTTCGCGATTGGTTATTTTCATTCCAAGCGGGAATAAAGATAATAAGAAAGGAATGAAGATAAATCTTCAAAACGTTCTTGTGTGATTCTTGGTCTCTCGTGATCCTAGCTAGCTATCATTCGTCTCTTCCCTCGAACCCCGGTCAGCCATCGTAGTTCCTCCTCACCCTCGAGCTTACGCACGCCCCGTGGGATATCGTGGGGGGTGAAACGAAGTTGAAGGGAAAAATTCCAAGGCCGCCTCGCTCCCCGGAAAAGTAAGAGGAGGCGTGCGTGGCTGTTTAACCAAGGGGGTGGATAAATTTTATGCTGAGACCGTGAAACGTGTTTCATCCTGGAGAAGGAACATTTCTGGATGCTCGAACAGAGGGGACAGAGGGGTGATCGCCCAACTTGTTCCCGAAGAAGAGTAGCGCGTTTAGGCCGAGTGAAAATATTTCCGTCGTAATTCACTCTTTTTTTCGAAAAAAGAAAGAAAAAAAAAAAAAAAGGAAGAAGAAGAATGTTCTCCTATATATCGTTATAAATAGCC